TCTTGTCTTAATTTTTCATCTTTCTTATTTTAACAGTATTGTGTTTACCAAAAAAACACTTTGCTGATCTTCTTGTACAAAAAGTTCAAAAATGATCGCTTATTCCAACACATATTACACCTGACTGACATATTTTTTCTGTGGTATTACATAAAAAATGATCAATGAGTGATCTAGAAGTATTTTTAACTCTAGTAGGCTCTGTAAGAATTTGAGACAGACCAAACAGTCTTAGTAGTTTGTTGTAATCTTGAGTAATTGAGACACTAGAATCTAGAGTGCATATATTGAAATCTCCCATTAGAATATATTCACAGTCTTAAAGTAGGTCAATCTCAAAGGTCAAAGGGTCAAAGTCCTTGGTATCCAATGAAGTAACTTCTCACAAGGATCATGTATATGAAGTATGAACGTCCTATCCCCTACCGTTCAAAAGTTATAGCCAAGGTTAAAGTTTCTTCATAAGTACGGAAATCTACAAGGTCAACGTAAAGGATCAAGGCTGTTGTTATCCAATGAAAGGTCTTTCAAATAAGATTACATATGTGAAGTATAAATGTCTTGGCATCTACTGTTCAAAAGATATGGCCAAAGTAAAAGTTTAAAATTTTCATGACAAATGGGTCAAACTCCAAAAAAGTAATATAAATAATCAAGAGCTAATATCAGCCTTTCATGCTGAAACCATTGTTTAAAAAGGATGACTCAAAGATTTATAAAATAAAAAGTTGGTGTGACATTCCACCTTAAACGTTTATGAAGAGTTATCTGCATTTGATGAAAAGAAGAAAATTTATTATTTCTCAAATTGTCTGCGGTAAAGGAGTCATTATTTTTTGTATATAACTTAATAAAGATATAGTTTATTCAAATATTTACAAAGATATTTGTTTGAAAATCAAATAACTTTTTACAATATCTTAAATAAAACAGTGTGCAGCCCATAGAACTTCAATTAATGTAAAATTCAAGGTGCAATTAATTAATTGAATTGAAAAAATCAAAGTTGTGTACAATTCTCAGTGAAGCATTATTTGATACCATTCTTCAAAATTCTATCAAGATTTAAACTATCAGACCATTCATTTAGTAGGTACGTAAAATGGTCGCTACACAATATAACTTAAATGCTTCGGAATTCTCGCGGGGCTGCCCTTCAATACATGGTCATTAGATAAGAAGTGAAATCTAGTAATTTGGACTTTATAATTAGTTTTATAATTTTTTTTTAATTTTCAAAACATATTTTACAACAAGTATTATACAAACATAACTGCCCTAAGTGAAGAAATATTAATAAAGTAAGCTTAATGTCATATGTTTGTACTTTGCATCTCAATAAAAAAAAATTCACTCGAATTACCTAGTGTGAAATACCAGGTATACCTGACCTAGAAAAGTAGTAATTGCCGAATAGCGAAAAATGTAGCTTTTGTAGACTTACGTATCCCTTCCCCTATTGCGTTAGGATATGCCTCGGGAAAAAAAAAACTTGAGTTTTGTGAGAAATTAAGTCTTATCTCTAACCTGGATATTCATGTGATTCATGTGTTACCAGATTTCTTACAAGTGGTTGTTGTATAGGTATAAGTTTCTAATTAAAATAAGAAAATAATTATTTCTATCTCACAACCTCAGTATAATAGTCATTCAATTACACTGGCGGATTAGTTTACAGGTAGTACACCCCCCCCCCCCCTCCCCCACCCCGGCCCACTTTCTGTCGAATATATACATATGATTTAATAATTCAATAATTTTTAATAAAATGTACTTTACCAATCGAATAAATATTATCAACAAATATTTATTATATTTCTGTATATTTCAACACTGATAAACTCTTAACTCTGGTAAACAACAGCACCTCCCCCCCCTCCCCCTTTTCCCTTTTCAAGATTCCTTGATTCGCCACTGAAATCTGCGTCGCCGTGTGAAATAGTAGTAAGAAAGTCTGCTTTAAAGTCGCGGATTAAGGAGATAATCCTTGTGTTGCAGGTTTGAATCCCTCTGAAGGACGTGGAGACCGGTCCTCTAATGAGACCGTATAAACCGAGGTCCCTTGTCGCAGTTGGTGCTGGCACGAAAAAGGTCCCTCACTGTGGAGGGGACCAGGGCCCCGTTTTCTTTACAATATATGCATTAAATTTAATAATTCAATAATTCTAGTGTGGTTGTTGCCTTTGTTGGCTCCTTAACTCTGTCAAACAACCGCTCCACCCCTCCCTGTCGCTGTTGGTGCTGGCACGAAAAAGGACCCTCACTGCTCAATGACCCAGGGTGTCGTGCAGCTTTCCAACGGCAATTGTTAGTGTTCCATGAGTGAAAAATTGGAGCAAGGATCTTAAGACAGCATTTAAACACCTTTGGTTTTCGTTTCTTACATACCCACATTTAACGATAGATGCCTGTCTCCAGTTGGTATTACCCCCCCCCCCCCCTGTGCATTCTCCATTCGCAATACACATAACAACCAAACTGCATTAACCGAAATACAAATAAATTCGCTTGAATTTTTGACCCCCTAGTATATAATAAAGAGAAGGTTATGAACTTTGTCATTCATTTTTGACCCCCCTTCGCTTCAGAAGCTATTTAATTTAACAAATCAGCAAATATTCCACGTTTTCATGCTTGCAGTGAATAAAATAAACTCTCTTCTTATTTCATGCCAATTTTCACCGCTGGACCCCACGTAGTTCTTGAGATGTACCCCCATGTCTGTTATTTCTAAGTAGGTCGTACATTTACTGGCAGGCCGATTTCTACTTTCGCTTCAAGAGTGAACATACTTATTGCACGATGCCATTACTATCATTAACATATATCAATAAGCACAGTTGCAAGAGAATATCACTTACCCTATTTATGTGTTATTTAATCCATTATAAAGACCCAAATGCAATTAAATTATTCGTTGTTTACTGGCTGTCTGTAACTTCCGGCCATTTTGTTTGTCCCGAGTACCCAAATGAAAGATGCACACTGATTGGACGATCGTTTGGCGGATTTTTTCGGAACAACTCTTCACTCATCCCGAATTTTCAACGTAAACACCCATGGATGAAAAGATGCACTTAACTAATGGACAACAACGTGCGCTAAAAATCGCACTCGAGGGTCACAATTTGTATGTAGGAGGCCAAGCAGGTACTGGGAAATCAGTACTACTTTCGCATATATTTGAAAGTCTTCATAACAAAAAAAAAGTTGCGCTAACATGCACTACAGGAATAGCTTGTACAAACTTTCCTTCGAGGTTTGATGCAGTCACTATTCACAGCTGGGCTGGATTAGATGATGGAAGGTAATTTTTTCAAAAGGTGAGGAAAAGTATTACAAGAAACAAAACAAAAGAATTTCTCAATTCCTCACGTGAGGCTCATGAGGAAATACAATACTTTGACATATGTGGTCCAAGACTTCCCAAGCCTTTATAACTAATTGACCATGTGTTAAGTGTTAAAACTTCCTGATATTGGGGACCAGGCAGGAATATCTTAATTTCTTGCGCTTCTAATCTTTATCTCCCATCAATTTAAAAATGCTTTCCTCTTCTAAATAATTTATATAAGGAGGGGCAGTAGGTCCATGGTCACACGTTTTTTGAACGCCTTCTCAGACCAGTTAATTCAAGACAAAATGTTTTAGACATTGAAATAAAAAATGCCAACCTTTAAAAGTTACAAATGTATGTATTTTTTTAAAGATTTATAATATTTGGTGCAGCCACAAAATGAAGGAAAATTTCAAAGGATCTGAGAATAGCTAGGGTAAGTGCTTTGAAATTTACTATCCCCCTCTCATTTCAATACTAATTAAAAAAAATGATATGTTTATATGTTAATTATCAGTGTTTTTAAGTTTGATATATATTTAATGCAGAATTTTATCAGGCATTGTAGTATATTAATTTAGAACAATAAATATGGTAAAAACAGATTAGGTCAGAGTGTGCATTAACAGCCTCAGTGTGGTATTCTATGAATTACATGTATTTAAGTTGCTAATTAAATATTGATACATATGATTTTTCTATTGACTGACTTTTCATGACCAACGGAACCTTGAAAATATACTAACTTATTATAACTTCAAAATTTTTTGCAGATAAAATATCCCAGATTTTGCATTGACAGAGTTCTGATGTTGGCACTCATTTAAAGGAAATGCCCATCGTTACATTCCTGTCAGAGTTATATCAAAAATATATTAATTTACATTGGATATTTTTAATGCATTACTGATAATAATACCTTGATTGATGTGTAGCATAATTATAATAATTTTATTTAAATCAGTTCATGAACATAATAATGCATGCATTATTTAAATGTAACATTCACACATGTCTGAATTTTGTTCTATTGTTGCTGTTCCAAGAGCATGCAATTGTTGCATATGAGTCTCATGAGCCTCATGAGACTCATATGAGCAATATTTAGGTAGCAAAAATTCACGTGAGCAAAAAATGCTATATAAACCCTGACGTGAGCATTTCACCTAATTTGCATGTTAAATTGCACGTGATTCACATGAGCAACTCAGGTGAGGAAATCTGGTCATGAGCAAATTGTGAGAATGGTTTGGTATGGGTGATGGAAGGTAATTTTTTCAAAGTTTATAAGATAAGATAAGATTTATTAATACCAGTTTGGGGCCCATCAGGGCATACAAGTAATAAGAAAAAAAATATTTATATTGTTATCCTTGTCTCATGTTATATATATCAGGTCCATGGCCACACGTTTTTTTCTCTATGAAATGAATTAACAGTTTATTTATATTGAACCATTGTCATTCAACAAGATCTATCCCTATTTATTGACGAGAATGAAAATATCCCATTGTTACATTCTTTTCAGAGTTATATAAACAAATATATTAATTTACATGCATTGTGCAATAATTAATAATTTATTGTGAACATTCACACATGTCCACTGCTGGAGATCATGAGTATGTATTTTAGTAAAAATTCATCTATATAAACGATGACCAATATCTTTTATGATTGTATTCAGGTTTGTTATCTTTTATTCAAATGAATTTCATACTCTGTGCAAATATGTAAAAATAATATAATTATATGCTATATGTCCACATTCCACTGGCATTCCTTAATTCATGTATGCAGTATACTTGTACTACTCAAAAATATGTTGCAGCTTAATTTCATGTATACTGACATTCTTGTCAGGTATTAAAAGTTAAAATAGATTATTTATTATAGATGAGATTGTAAAGCTAGCACAATAATATTGTATGAACTTGCTTAAAATCTGAATCCTTTGTTTTAGGCATGATACTAGTGAAATTAAAAGCATAGTCAAACACCACAAAAAGGACGTATATAACAGAATATGTGCAACAGATGTTTTAATTGTGGATGAAATATCTATGCTGTCACAAAGACTACTTGAACAACTTGAAGAGGTATGTTCATTGCGAGATGAACCCAAATATTTTGGAGGAATCCAAGTAGTTCTTTGTGGGGATTTCATGCAGTTGCCGCCCGTGAGAAATGCTATATATAATGATGCTGGGAATTTCTGCTTCCTCAGTCCACTCTTCGATACTGCATTTCCACATCGTATCATTTTAAAAGATGTTGTGAGACAAAGTGATATTGAATTTGTATGCACCATCAACGAAATAGCTAGAGGTTCTTTAAGTCAGAAATCAAAGAACTTTTTACAGAGCCTTGACAGACCACTTCATGTTCCATCAAGTGTGAAGCTTTATGCAACAAATGAATTAGTAAATAGACACAATAGAAAGTGTCTTTTTGAAATGCCAGGGATTCATACAGAGTATTTAGCCGAGGATTCCGGAGATATTTCTTGTTTGTCTCGAGTCGCAGCACCACAAGTTCTTTGGCTGAAGAAAGATTGCCCTGTTATTCTGTTGAAAAACCTCTCAAAAAAGCTTGTAAATGGGTTACAGGGAACTATTATGTCCTGTGAAAGAGATGGCCCAGTGGTACATTTTGCTTCTGTTGATGAAACAGTCAAGATGAAACAAGAAAGATTTTCAGGTACTCAAAATTACTACTAAAAATTAAGTATAAATCTACAGTAAATGATTGAACTGTACTGACAGTTTTACAGCAGTGATTTAGGATCATTCTTATCAAATTCAACATTTAATTGAATACAAAAGTCAAAACATTATTTAACAAATTAAGAGGCCAATGGGCCACAATCACTGGCCATGCTGATCTTGGTATGTTTTAAAAAAATAATTGTGTGAAGCCATGCTTTTTATAATGTTCGGACAGCATAATTCCTATCTAGAACCTAACCCGCTTTTTCCTCCAATCAACAGCTGCTAAATTTTCTATTAAATTGATCACTTAATTGTTAAGATTTCATGTCTATGCAGAAACTCGGGCTGACTAATTAGCCAATGAAAAAGCGCGATAGGTTCTAAGTAAGTTACCAGTAGATAATAGTAAAATTTTAGTTGTTAAGAAGGGGGCGAAGGGAGCGAAGCGACCGAGCCCCTTCTTAACCACTAAAATTTTACTTAATATGGTCTAACTATTACAAAGAGTCTAAATTGTCCCTATATTGTATGCCCTGTCCTACCCGTGGCCCTATTTAAGGGTTAAATAAAAATTTTGACAAATTTGAATCTGCAATACCTGAGAATGCTTCCACACTCCTTCAACTAATTATTATCCTTTTGTCCAAATGTTCTTAAAATGAGGATATATTAAGAATTCAAATGTATCCTCCTCATATGGCTATTCAAACGTTTTCTTTGTTTAGCATACACCCTAATTTTGAAATCCTTTCTTTCTATCCAGAAAAAAACACACAAACCATAAGGGAAAAACATAACAATTTAAGCACAATTCTAGAATTTATAATTATCCTTTAAGAATTCTTCTAACATTGTAATTAACTACATGTAAGTCAAACTACTGGTTAATGGATGCAATTTTTTTTTTTAAATAAGAAAGTTTCCCATCCCCCCAAAAATAAATTGCACTTCAAAGATTTGTTTATCAATTTTAATTTGTGTTTGTTTTTTAATTTCAAAACCTAAAATCCAATTCGCCTGCAGATGATAAACAAAGAACTTGGATTGGCCTTAAACTTTAACCCCCTTTTTTTGGTCTTATCCTAGCTCCAGGGCCTATGATGTGATAACTTCAATATGTGATAGCATTTTTTAAGGAAACTGTCTAAATCACCCAGTACATTGATCTTTTGAATAAAACACACATTTCCTTTATTTGTAAATCATCTTCCCTTAATATCTGTAACCTAAGGATGCTAGTTTTGTATAAATAAAAAATGTTTAACATTTTAGTCATACATGTAACAATTAACTGAAGTATACAGACAACAGACAGATTCCAGACAGAAAAATGTTAACTCACTTGAGTGTTTTGCTCAACTGATCCAATAAAAAAATAACAAATTTAGTCTTTGAAATTTAATTATTGAAATTAAAATAAAAAAATAGAATTACTAATATTTTCAAGTTTATATTCATTAAAATAAAACTTTATTTCAGTATTCAGTCCTGTGTTGCGAAGAAATCTTGCTGAGAGAAAGCAAATTCCAGTCAAACTTGCATTTGCCTTAACTATTCATAAAGCCCAGGGGATGACACTTGAATGGTAGGTACAAATCTATAAGTGAAAGGAGTTGATGAAAAAAAGGATGGGGGCAGATCAATAATTTTTTCCTATCAGACAGCATTTGCATCTCCCCTGTCCCTTCTAATTTTTTTTTTAAATTTAACTCTGACAATTTCACTTTCAGGTCTTACAAATCATGTGCTGTCATCATATCATGTCAATAATTGTATTATTATAACTAATTGTGTTTAATTGTGTGAAGAAAAATATCCTGCTTTTAACAGTAGTAAAAAGGAAATTTTGAGTAAGCTTTCTATCATCCTGACATAATTTGTGTCTTTAAATATTTGTAGTGTGGAAATTGATTGCCAACAAATTTTCTCCCCTGGACAACTTGGGGTAGGTGTGAGTAGAGTTAAGTCCCCAACAGGACTGCGGCTTATCAACTTTAATGAAACTGCTTGTATCCCTATGCCAACAATCATTTTCAAGTTCCTGGATACATGTACACTCACAATGACGCAAGATGCAGATCTTGGCTGTTGTAAGAACACAAGGTTTGTATGCAATATTTTATTAACAACTGTTACATATTAAAATCAAAATTACTCTTCATGGAACAATGTTCAACAATATACCATTTCTTTATTCACATATTCTAGGATTGTAAGTTGAATAGCTTTTAAAAACAAAACTGAATGGATTAATTTTTTAATTGTGACAAGACCTTTCTAAATACACTATGATTTTTGACCTTATGACCTTAACCTTGAAGTTTAATCTACTTTTCAAAATTGTTAATTTTCCTTATAACTTTTGATTGAGAAGAGATAGGGTTTTCATATTGGACATGTGCATTACCTGTGACAAGATATTTTCGAGCATATTATGATTTCTGACCCTTTGACCATCAAGATTGACCTTATTTTGAAAAAAAAAATCAACTTCAGTGATAATTTCTGAATTACATATGATTTCATATTTGACACAATATGTCTGACTCATTAAAATGACATCTCATCCACATAGACACCAAAAACAGGTGACGACAATTCTTTTATTTGCTTGTTTTTGTTATTATACATGTATATGTAACATTACAGGGTTATGGTGGCTTTATAATCAAACAATTCAAAGTTAATGGTACTCACGATCATCCTTTAGACATTTTAAATCTTTTAGTCCTATCATATTTTATTTCATTCAATTCAATGATAGTCCAAGTTCATTATAATTATAAAAACTTCTGTTTTTATATTTATTTTATATTCTAATAGACTTTGGTCTTGATAATGGCATTTTCTCTGATGATTTCCTTTTTAATGGACCAGGTTTGCTAAAAGTATATGGTTGAACATGATGACCATTGCTAACACTTGCATTGGCTTTCTTTGAAACAATTCTTTGACCAAGAACTATGCTGTTCAAATTTCTTCTGTATTCTAGGGCATTCGGATTTGAATTTGGTCCATTATATGTGGAACGTTGTTGACAAAATGTGTTTTCTACTACATCTGAATTCACAAGTGCTGGTGTTATTAATATCTTGACATCCTTGCGTCCTAGTAGGTAATTGCACAGTTGAATAAATCCATTTATGCATGATTCAATATCCTCATTACACTCTCTAGAAAAAAGATCTTTAGATGATTTGGCTCCATTTTTCCACTGTTCAAACCAGACCTTCACACTTATTAGTTCATGTAATCTTGGATCATCTGTACTCTGAATTGGCCGCACATCTCGGAAAATCTGGACCAGTTTGGATGTTTTCTGAAGTAACTGAATTACACCATTCAGTGACTGTCCATTTCTAAGAGAAGATTGATACATCTGGAACAAGTGGAGCATTCTGTCATCCAGCACATCTTCGGCTAGGTGGTTCCTCATTTTTGAGGAAGTCGAAGGATAAAAATGTTCATTTGTAAGTGCACAGTGTATCTCTAGAGCATTCTTCTGATCCCAGTGGTAACAGTCTTGAAACATCTGCCATTGAATCATTTCACCTCCTGTCAATGTTAAATTTCTTGTACAGCCTTTGGTTACCCCACTTTTGAGAATATTATTCCTTATCTTTTTCATCACATGTGAATAGTCCATAGTAAATATTACTTTTTCCTCAAAATTGCATGGGCTTGGTACTATCATATTTCCAGGACTAATTATATTGATGTTCAAAAATGTTCTGTTACAGCAAGCACCATCCATGGATGTAAAGCAGCAAGTAAAATCATGCATTTGTAGTTTGTCAACTGCCTCCCAGAACAGTGCATGCAAGTCATATGCCCTTACTTCATCTGTCACAAAATGAGCGAAGGGGAACCTAAACCCTGTTAGCCCAAGGAAGACAAACTGCAGTATATGTTTCCCTATTTTTTGCTTCTTTTCTCCCTCTCTCAATGTAGAACAAATGTTTGCCTCCTCACCTTTATCAACAAATCCCACTAGTTCCACCCCATCCGTTGTTTTTTGAATTTGCAAGTCCTCCTGAATCGCCATCTCGTCTAAGATTATGCCGCCAAAAAATCCTTCAGCTGGAATTTTTAACCGAACTGCTTCATTTCTCATCCATTGAAATATTTTTTCCTTAAATCCAATTTTCTGTTTCACTGAACTTTTATAGAGAATAAGTAATGAAGGAGAAGGTAATTTTAACATTTTGCTATTTCTAAGTGAATCATACCCTGCAGGACTCCTGTCGTACAGTTGTAAACAAGTAGCAATAATTTTCTTGGGCCATCTATATCCATTTGGATTCCTCATCATATTCTTTGCCTGACAAACCAGAAGCATAATCATTTCCTTTGGCGCATTTGGAATAATCTTCTTAAAGTTTTCGGCAATGATATCTGTATCCTTTTCTGGGCTACAAGTTTCTTCTTGCAGAACATTTATATTTTTACCCTTTTCTGTAAATGTCATTTTTCTGCAATGTACACAGATATTATTTCTAGTTAAAAGTGGAACGATTTTATCGCATAAAGCTGAACGTAGTTTGAAAATCTTATCCCTGTTTTCATTTGACTCATTTTGAAACAGTTCTGTTGTATGGAACCGTGTACAAATTACAGATTGTGATGCTTTTGCAGTTACTCCCTCACATACGAGGGTTTTCAAAATCTGTATGTTTCTTTTTCACCTGTTTCAAGTTTGTAGGAATATTTTACCAATAAATCCAATGTTTGCTTCAAAATATTGCAGAACATTTTATATTTTTACCTTTTTCAAAATTTGGCAAGTTACAAACAAAACACTAAATAATAAGTCATTTTTCTGCAAAATTGTTACATCGATTCGTATAAAAAATTATGGCTTTATATTTTGTTTTGTTGAAAAGTAATCGACATGAGAAGATAAATCGTCTTTAATGAAAACGACAAACACGATGACGTTTTAGAACGTCACGGAGCAGCAAATAACGATGCAATTTTGTGTTTTACTTAGGAAAAATCCTGAGTAAACGCCAAAAAAGTTGGAGGAATCAAGAAATATGTAACAAATGAGTTTATAGTAAAGGCATAAAGTGAACACAGATGAGGATTTGAAAATTTTATCTCTGTTTTCATTTGACTCATTTTAAAACCTTAACAAACAATTCTTAAAGAATAAATTTAAAATATTTGTTGGGCATTGGATTATACTGTGTGAAAGTACAAATTACAGATTGCTGATGCTTTTGCAGTTACATTGCCGTTAAGTGTGCTCCGCGGGTACAAAACATGTTGATTTTAAACTGAAGTAAATTGATTTCTGTTAAATCGGATCGAATGAAACATCACAAATAAAAAAAACAAATATTTTAACATATTATATTGTACTTATTTTAAATTTCTAGTAAGTAATATAAATTAGATTGACATCGTCCACGAACTTTTCGAACAACCCTCGTACTTTCAAAATTTGAATAGCATGAAATATAGACAGAATGTTGTCTTTTTCACACTGGTATGTAGGATCAATAAAAAGAGGATAAAGATCAACATTTTTTCCACCCACAGACAATTGCCATGTACCATCAAGGTTAAAACTCACACTTTTGAGGATATCATTCCCATTGCTTTTACATCCTGAAATGACAGAACATGTGAGGACAGATTTCTCTCTCTTTTTCATGACAACAAATCTTGGAATTAACTCATCCAGTTTATCGAAATCTATTTTTTCTCTGCTAAAATTTGGTAAACACTTAAGTTTGATATTTTCAATAATGCGGATTTGTTTGCTATTGATAGTCTTTCGTTTCACAACAACATTAGGGAAAACTGCTCTTAGGTACTTGGAAAACCACTCTAAATTTATTTCATGATTCTCTGTGCTCCCCTCTAAATTTTCAAATTGGAATTGATGGAACACATTGTTTAAGTCAAGTTCACTGCCATCTTCTTTTGCTAGCCTGTTAAGCAGCCTGAAAGAAGAAATATAAAAAGTTCATGTTTCTGGGGTAGCAAAGACTTGTACATGCATTAGTATATAAATTCCATTTCCATTCTGTTCGGGATATGACCTTTTTTAAATTTATTTTCGTGTTTTCAAATTTCTCAGTAACAAATTTTAAGGAGGCTGGGGGTCAAAAAATTTAACACTGATTTAACTAATTATTATTTTTTCAGATATGATGCCTTAATTAAGCTGTCAACTTTCATTTGGCAGCAAAGAAAAAATTCATACAATTTAGTTTCAAAATTCATTTTTGTATATCTATATATGGAGCTCTTCTTCTAAAGGAGATCATTGTAGTCAAAAAATGGCCATAACCACCCAGCCCTCTTAATCATATGAAGGAAAATAACCCCCCTTTTTAAAATCAGATCATAAAGTAATTAAAGATACAAGTGTACACTGATATATATTTACTAAATATTTATTGAACTGGGTTGGCCTTATGGATTTATTTTAGTGTAATGTATAACATTTTGCAATTTAATCTAAAAGCATGTTTATATATGTCAATATTCTGTCATTATGCATTGTACAGTTTCATTTTGCAGACACTTAATTCATATTTTATTTCTTTTCAGAATCAGGTGTAATGAAAAGGCATTTGAAGAAAATTATCATCTTGAACCAGTTGTACAGGAACATGACATGTTGGAGAATGTTGAAGACTCGCACGGTGACATTGACAGTATTCTGGATGATATGAAACATGTTCAAACTGATGATTCAGAAGGGATTGAATTGCCTGAGGGATTAGATATCCATTCAATTTTGACAAATATTTATGTGCAAGATGCAGAGACTAAAGTACAAAAGCAAACAAATTGTGTAATAGATACACTTTTGACCGGAAATTTTGATTATGATGTAAAAAAATTTTGCAGTCATACTTTCAGTGTTATGACCGAGTGTGTGGAGTCATTAAAAATTGATAGGGAAAACCCCTTAGCAGTAAAACCAGACAAACTCTCACATTTTTTCAAACAGTGTCATCAATTTCAAACTTCTGATGAATTTAAGGCATGTACCCTACTGATGTTTTTTGATGTGCATCAAATTAATCCTGTATCACCACAGGTTATGGCTCATATTGCTTTTAATATTTTTGTTCATATTAGGAAGTTTATTCTTGGTCAGCTGGAAAAAGTGTACAAAATTGGAGATAAATGTTTTAAAAAAAGGAGTCTTACTGAAGAAAGCTTAGGGAAAGTGAGATATGTTGGGGGTTACTGTGTGGCAAAGACACGCCACCACTACAACAAAATTCTTCGTCAAAGAAGTTTTAAGATAGGGGAGTCGAATCAGAAAAAATATGATGAAGCATTCACAATAATACAGATCCTAGATAACTTTAGAGAAAATGAAGTTATACTTGGAGCAACTTCATCCCTTCCTCAGACACTTGTAGAGACAGCTGTCAAACAGAACATTTCAAGAGGTCTCACAAATATAACAGACAAAATGTTTCTTTTCTTCATGTCTGTATGTGAATTGTGTTTAAGTGTTTTTATTGAGAAAAATTTAAACATTCATGGTAACAATATCTATGAAGCATGCAAAGAAAAAATACACAGTGATGGGAAACTTTATCAGCTATTCCTGGATGCAGTTAATTTTTCCCCGCCTGCTGAATTTTTACAGTCGCAGAGTATTATTGTTCTTTTAGATGAAATGGTTGATAGAGTAAATGCTTTAGAAACTTTATACAAAGTTTTGACTGAGAAATTCATGATGGTCATGTTAAACCAGTACAGAAAAGATATTCTTTCATGTTTGTCCATACATAAAAAAATGGCTCACAGAAAGCAGATTCTTGTCAAGTCATAAACGCTTGAATACTGAATAATAAAGAAAAGAATATTCACTTATAAATTTTTTAGTTTTCTTCTTTGAGGGAGGGGTGTGTGGTGTTTTAAAAAAGAAAAGTACCGGTATATGAGAGAAGAGTTGTAGCACTTACTTAGTTTATGATTTGAGGCTTGTATAATTTATGTTAGAAATTTATTGATATATCTTCAGTTTTCATTTATTTATTAATTGCTACTTTTCATCATCATGGTTACAGTCATATAAAATACGAGTAATACTGGAGGGGGGGGGGGTATAGAGTCCTTGAAGTAGCTCCCAGGTACATCTGCATTGCAGGGATATAGAAATAATACTTTTAATAATATAATATGTTAATATAAAAATAATATACCAGTAGAAATACTTTATCACATAAGAAATATCTTTCAAAATAGAACCATTGATTCATTGTATATTGTCATATTATCATGGGTCGTCTGATGCGTTTGCCCCCTTCACGTCAACTAAACATTGATAATTTTAATTATTGATAATTTGGACTCAGATCTTAGTGTTATTCAATTTTTCTGTATATTTTCTATAATCAATTTAACTTGGCGTCAAAAAATTCACAGCATTATGAATTTAAAAAAAAAAATAAATGAATACCAGGTAATGACAGCCATGCTTCTTCATCCATGGGTGTTTACGTTGAAAATTCGGGATGAGTGAAGAGTTGTTCCGAAAAAATCCGCCAAACGATCGTCCAATCAGTGTGCATCTTTCATTTGGGTACTCGGGACAAACAAAATGGCCGGAAGTTACAGACAGCCAGTAAACAACGAATAATTTAATTGCATTTGGGTCTTTATAATGGATTAAATAACACATAAATAGGGTAAGTGATATTCTCTTGCAACTGTGCTTATTGATATATGTTAATGATAGTAATGGCATCGTGCAATAAGTATGTTCACTCTTGAAGCGAAAGTAGAAATCGGCCTGCCAGTAAATGTACGACCTACTTAGAAATAACAGACATGGGGGTACATCTCAAGAACTACGTGGGGTCCAGCGGTGAAAATTGGCATGAAATAAGAAGAGAGTTTATTTTATTCACTGCAAGCATGAAAACGTGGAATATTTGCTGATTTGTTAAATTAAATAGCTTCTGAAGCGAAAGGGGGGGGGTCAAAAATGAATGACAAAGTTCATAACCTTCACTTTATTATATACTAGACAATTCCAATTTTCTCTGTTTCTTTTAAAAAATTCATTTTTATTCTTGATGCTCTAAAAAATTACACTTTTGTTGCGTAAAATAATCGTGTCGGGTAGCATGATATTCAGCTTTTCTTATGATTTTCATTTTTTATATAACAAGGATTGACAAGTGCTTTCGTGATTTTCATAGCATTAAAAAGAAAGGTGTTATAAAACTTGACTTGAAAATTGAGGTTAAGTAGATTTTCATGTAATAAAACTCAATTCTTTCGAAAATAAAAGTGCTAAAATTTTCTTCTAGCATGATTTTGAGTTACTTGATAAAAATTGACACATTTTTATGACTTCATGCCACATGTGTTTACTTTGACAAATCATGTGATATTAACATTTAATTTTAAAATTTTAAATAAGTACAGGCCCAAAGACCATAACCTGAAAACAGACAAGTCAAAATTTTGATATCTTGTTTTGCTTGATTAATTAGCTTAAAAATTTGAATTCAATATGACATTTAACAATCCAGATACTGTATATGATGTAATTTTGATATTCATTATCAAAATTATTTAAAAAGCTTAAAATATTCTAGTACCAGTTTTAAATTTTGACTAGTCTGTTCTCATTTTATGGTCTTGGGGCCAGGAATGGTCAGGTACTAGTACATTACCGATGAACTCTTTCTCTGTGAAGTTAATGGAATATTCGACAATATAAAATATTAAAAGTAATCTGGTAACATTACCAAATTTTAATTTACTGGAGTGCACACATATTTCCTGCAATACTAGTACTTTATTGTACAATATGTACAAATGATAAAATTGTACGTATTTAAGTATGTATAGCTGTAGCAACCTAGACAAATAATATTAAAAAAAATAAAGTTCCACGCCACAGCATGATACGCCCGTCAAAAAATTACAATTTTCTTGAACAGTTTAGCATGCAAGAAAATCACATCAGCTTTGATGCTAAGATTTCCCTGAATTTTCCATTCCTTAAAATATTTATCCATCCCCTGTGATGTTGGCATTAATTTATGATAAATATTACATCATGATAGATGTCTACGCTGGTTGTGTTAGACCTTGTCAAATGCCCATCTTATTAAACAATATCAGATTAGTCTTACCTTAATCTATACCAAATTAATTTTGAAAAGAAAAGGCTGGCCATCAAATGATATATGCTATAAGCTGACCAGCAGTTCTTCTGTCACCCCAAAGGATACAGATAAGACTGCTTGATCAGAGAGCCTTCCTACACTGAACTCATTAATCTTTAGGTGGATGCTTGTCTACTCATTACTACCAAGAGATAAATAGGTCTGCACTATCTACCATAAAATTTTTTTTTAAAACCTACAAAATACTCAAAGATTTTTTTTTTTGGTTGAGATTTAATGTCTGACAGGTTTTATTATGTAATTCATATGGACATGCTGATTCCATCCCACCCCATAACATTAGTTTTTAAATTAATAATATTATATAATATCAGATTAGTCTATTATGCAATATCAAATTAGTTTTAATTACTTTTCATCAAATTCATTTTAAAATTTAGGCTAGCCAACAAGAGCTTTTTTAATCCAACAGGCTTAACCATTTGCCCAATACTCAAGGGATATTGATAGCACCGATGCTCTAGCTACCAGTAAGCTCCTCACACTAAACTCATTAATTTCTCTCTAATTTGACATGCAATTTTATCAAAATTCTTCTTGACCAGTGCTTGATAATTACACTCATGGGAGAGGTAGGATTGCTCTAACATACATTATATTTGTTATAGATTGCTGTCAAGTATATGCTTAAAAAAATAAGTATTTTCTTAATTTAAAACTTTTTTAATAACGACAGAGCAATAATCTTATATTATTTGGGATGTGAAAATGAATAGTAATAAGACACATTTTTTTTTTAATAAATTTCACTTAAATTAAAGGTCACAGTGACCTTGAAATAGGTCGCGACACACCTTCTACCTAAGATGCATAAACTAGCAAAGTTTGATGATTGTAAGTCTTATAGTTTTCTAGTTATGGGCCGGAAAGGATTTTTCCATATTTGGCTATATCTTCTTAATTAAAGGTCAGAGCGACCTACTTTTTGTGCGCGACACACCTTCTACCCAAGATGCATCAGATGACAAAGTTTGATAATCCTAGGCCTAATAGTATTAAAGTTATGAGCCGGAAACGAAAAAGCTAATATACAGACGGACGGACACGAAGCCTATAACATAATACGTCCCGTCTTAAGGTAAAGATTCATACCATGCTACAAGAATAACGAAGCTACAGATTTTGTTTAAACTTCTCAGAATTTGAATTAAGTATTTGTCCTTTTCATATCTGCGTAAATTTTTAGGTCAATCGGGCCTCCTTTTGTTAGGACTGTTACTAAAAATAGACATTGTCTCGAGAAATTACAAAAATGAAGGAATTGAGTAATATATTCTAGCTTTTTAAAATTAAAGGCAAATAAAAATATTTAACATATGAATTGTAGAGAGGATATGCTTGTTTAACGGTTTAATTAATTTTTACATCTGCTGATCCATTTAATTGTACTTTTTAGGGCGAATTCAACATATTTAGCTCAAAATTATAAAGTTCATTTCTGGTAAAAATAAATTGCTGCTTGATATTCTAACTACAGATTTCTTTTTAAAATTAACACGTTATTTTCCAATGTTCTCTCCCTTATATGGCATAAAAATTAAGTGGGGCAGCGGGCATCAAACAAGAAAATTTCACATTCTTATACCAAATTTGCTGAAAAATGATA